GAGACGGGAGCTGTGCCTGCTGGCGTGCAAGGCCGCAGAGAACTGGGCCCTCGGCCAGGACAAGGGGCCGGCGCGCTCCTCCTGCCCTCCCCGAGGCCCCTCCCGAGGCCCTAATACTGACTGATGACGCCCCCATCCCAGCCTGGCAAAGGGGCGCCTCGCCGGCTGCTGCCCGACACGGGCTGGGGCTAGCGGCGCTCGGGGCTAACACTTCAGAGACCGCTTTGGCTTCATAGAAAGCGGAGCGCTGCGCAGAGGCCCGGAGCACCGGGACCGGGTGCGCTCCAGCACCGACTAGCTCCGACACCTAAGTAGCGTCGGCGCCACCCAATCTCCGCCCAGCCCGGCCAGCGGGGGGGACGCGACAGCAGTCGGCCGTGGGAAGCTCTAGCACGAGATACGAGGGCCTCCCAGCCCAGCCCGGCCGAGCACAGGGCGACCCGGCGAGTCCGCTATGCCCGGCACACGGCACCCGGCTTGAGGTCCGTGCCGCCGTCACGCGGTGCAGGGGCGGGTGGCCCGAAGCCCTCGTGGCCGTAGCAGCGCAGCGCCGCCTCCTCGTAGGCCTCCAGGATGGTCTGGCGCTCCTCCGGTGTGAAGTCCATGGAAAAGGGGTGCACCTGCAGGATGTGCCGCTTGATGGTGCTCACCTTGAGCGTGGCCAGCGCGCCCCCGCACACCATGCACACCAGGCCGCGCCGGCTGCCGTCGTAATCCATCAGGTATTCGCCCCGCCAGCGCGGCTGGTAGTTCCGCCGCTGTTCCCGGCTGCGGGGCGGCGGCGGCGGGGGAGGGGGCGGTGGCGGCAGTGGCAGCGGCGGGAAGGCCAGTCCTCCGGGTTCCTGCCCGTCCTCTTCGTCCTCCTCTTCCTCGGCGGGCCGCTCCAAAGCAGCCCCAGGGGAAAGTGGGACTTCGCCTGGAGAAGGACAAAGGGCTGCGTTGGAGTTGCTGGCCGACAGCAGGACAGGTCCCACATCTCAGGACACATTCCCCTCCTTTTGTCCCTGGATCCCAGCCTCCCTTCAGCCTTCTACTCTCACTCTTCAAGCAGCCACGCTAGGCCCAGCCCTCTCCGTGCCTGCCCGGTCCCTGCCCACGCTCCTGGCCACCTGCTCTGGCCCTCCACCGGCTCACCCCACCACTCCTCCTCTGGCTCCGCCTCCTCCGCCCTTCCCCCTTCCCGGACTGCGGCAGTACTGGGGCCGGTGGGGCCGGGGGGCGGCTCCGAGCAGGGCAGCCCCAGGGCCAGAAGGTGGGCGGCCTTCTCGCTCCATTCCTTGACAGGCCCGGTGAGGCACGTGGAGCCCGGGTGGCGCTGGCGGATGTGCCGCTTGATGGTGCTCATCTTGAGCGAGGCCAGCGCGCCCCCGCACACCAGGCACACCAGGCCGCGCCGGCCGCCGTCCAGCTCCATGAGGTACTCCAGTCGCCAGCGCTCCTGGTAGTGAGGGCGGTGGTCGCCGCCCCGCAGCGACTGCCCGGGAACCCCCTCCCTCTCCGCCTCTCCCTCGCTCTCGCCCTCCTCTGTGGGCCCGGGCCTCTCAGGGACCCTGCCAGCCTCTTCCTTTACGTCTGGGGGACTGAGATCCTGAGAGGAGGGGGCTCCAGCAGCAGGGGCCGAGTCCCGGCTCTTTCTGGTCAGGTCCTGGGGAACGAGGTCCTCGTCTGTTGGGGAAGGGTTGAGGGAGAGGGGCTCAGCCTGCTGACGGTGTTGTCCTTACCCATGCGGGGTGGGGGGGTATCTATCCTTGGTCTTCACCCCAGCCCCAAGCTAGAGGCCCCAGGGAGAGGGAGAGGGAGGGAGGAAAGAGAAAGAGAGAAGGAGGGAGGGAGGGAGGGAAGGAAGAAGAGAGAGGGAGGGGGGAGAGGGGGCAGAGGAGGTAAGGGGGGAGAGGCAGAGAGGGAGAGAGAGAAGGAGAGAGGGAGGGTGAGAAAGAGAGGGCACAGGAGAGTCCGTCCACCAGTGCAAGTGCAGGGATGGGATGAGTAGGCGGGGCCTTTGGCCCTTGGCCAGGAGTACCTGCCTCTCAGTTTTAGTCATAGACCCCACCTTGCAGCACTAAAGAGGGGGGAGTCTCAGCCTTGGGGCAACCTCGCACCTGGTGGGGGCTGGGTGAGCTCAGACAGCGCCCCAGGCTGGCCACCCCAAGCCTGCAGCAGGGCACTGCGCTGAGGGCCGCTGAGCCCCAGAGAGCTGGGGTGCACTTCCAACACATGGGCACGGATGTCATCCAGGTGCAGGCTGGGCAATGTCCGGCCACACGCCATGCACACCAGCCGGTTCCCCCGCGGGTCATAGTCCATGAGACATTCAGCCCGGAACCAGCTCTGCAAGGACTCCTTCAGCCTTCTCTCCAGGCGCTGGGACCCCAGTCCCCTGCTGCCCCCAGCCCTTCTGGAGGCTGAGAGGCACCTGCGTCGGGATGCCACTGGGCCCCCTTGCACCCGACGCCGAAGCCGGGAGCCCCCACCAGCTGAGGCTTTGCCTGAAAGGGTTGGAGGGAAGCAACTGAGATGCTGGCCCTCTGGGGAGCCCCCCACCACAGCCAGGCCTTCCACAGCCTCTTGCTCACTGAACTGTGACTCAAGTGCCACATCTAACCTCTGCCTCTGCCATCCTCTCCCCTCACATCTTAGCTTCATCTCCCTAATCCTCCTGCACACGCTAGCTAAGTCCAACCAGCCTTCCTAGACCCAGATTCCAGCCCCTTCCCTGGGCTCCACTGTCAGCTTTTCTAGCACCCTTCTGTTCCCTCACCTACCCTCACCCTCCCTGCTGTCCCCACCAACTTCTAACTCCTCTAAAACCACAGAATGTCAAAGGTGTTAGAGAGGTTGGAGACTCCCATCAACTGTCCTCTCTCACTATTGGACAATAAGGGCAATAAATAGGCCCTACCCAGAGAAGGAGCAGTGACCTGTCCCAGAAAATCAGCTAGTGGACAGAGCAGCTGCCCTGACTTGGTCCCAACATACCTAGGTCCCTGCCTCTCCATGTCCCGCATTACCTGAGCCCTTGGGTGGGCAAGCCTGGAGGCTAGCTCCCTCTTCCTCCTCTTCATCTTCCTCCTCCTCCTCTTCCTCAGCCCCCTGGGCCCCTAGGCCCTCAGCCTCACCACAGGCCCCCAGCCCCAGGTGGGCATCCCAGCTGTTGCTGATGACTTCCTTCTCACGGGGACTCCAATGCAGAGAGTAGGGGTGTTTCTGGCGGATGTGCCGCTTGATGGTGCTGAGCTTGAGGGTGGCCAGGGAGCTGCCACACACCATGCACACCATGCCATGCCGAGCAGGGTTGAAGTCCATCAGGTACTCCAGCCGCCAGTGGTCGTGGTAGTAGCGCCGGTGGTCACGGCCAGGGATACGGCTCTTTCCAGGCCTCGAGGCCCTGGCCTCACAATGGTCTGAGTATTTCCTGCCCGAAGATGCTGGTCCCCTGGCCCTGGAGGAGGGCGGGGGGGTACTCCCCCAGGACCCCAAGGTACCCCCTTCCAGCTGAAGATCTTGTCCTGAAGAAGAGAAAAGGAAGATAGATTTCAATCTCCAGTTTCCAGGAAAAGAACCAGAGCTTTAATTTCAGAGCCTGAGAAGGGGGTGGGGTGTTTCACGGAAGGGAAGGGACAGCAATAGCAATGAAAGGAACGTGGGAGAACCAGGGTGTCAAAACACCCTAACACAGGGCAAGGACCCTGTGAGAGAGGCTTGAGAACAAAAGGATGCTGGGTACCCTATGAGCCAGCTGTGACTTTTTAAAGATAAGTGAGGGCCAAGGACACACCAGCTCTGTACAGCACCCTTTTGGAGGAAAGTGTAGGGATAAAGCCAGGAGAGCAGCAGCTGGGGCGGTTACAGCCAGCATGGAGAAGGCAGTGGGGTGAGAGGAACAAAGGGGGCATCTGTCTACATCCAGGCCTGCACAAGGACCCACCCACCTGGGGCCCCAGCCAGGAGGGCCCCACCCAAAGTTCTCCTTTTTTCCAATAACGCCTCAAAAACTGCCTCCTGAGAGTCCCATATAGGTATAGGCTATGCCTTTGTCAGTTCCCTAAATACAGATTCCCCTACAGGAGAGATCCCCAACATAAAGCTGTCAACACCTCCACAAAAAGGAGTTTCTTGGACCTGGACTTCCCCCGCAGTCTGAGAGAGCCAATGACCCTGAAAGGGGATGGCAGCAAGGCCACCAGAGAGGCTACCAAAGATACTGCATCAGGGAGCAGCCACCACCCACTAGAACCCATTAAGTCTTTCTGGAGATTTATTTTTTGCTCTGGCAGGGAGCTGGCCACTGCCCAGCAATAAGAAGGGAGGGCACTGGAGGGGATGGGGGGTTAACCCAGTGGTGTTCCCTTTGTGAAACAGGCACCCAGAGCAGTCCCCACCCTCCCGACAGTTATGACCCTTTTATTTAGAAAATGGTCTCCTGGCCACATAAAGTAAATGGACAGGTTCTGGTCATTCTCCCATTGGAGAATCCCAGGATCCAGCAAACAAAAGACAGGCTCAGAGAGGACTCCTGTCACACTGTAGAGGGTTTTGTTTGTTTTAGTTTGCATTTTTAAAAAGTAGATTCATAGAAAAAAAACCACTAGGTTCAAGTCCTAGCTTCACTGATAACTTGCTCTGTGACCTCTAGTAGGTCATGTCCGCTCTCTGGGCCTTTGCCGTCTTTGTCTGCAAGGATACTGGATGGCTAGCTGGTCTTTTAGCATCCTTCCAGCGCTGGAGCCATGATAGTCTAAGGCAGACTGGCCCTTTAAGAGTCAAAAAAAAAAAAAAAAAGAGGAGGAGCTGAGATTCTTTAAAAACAAAAGGGGATGGGGAGTTTTGGGGAGGAGAGCTCAGAGATTAGGGCAGAGTCTCCCAGGTCGGGACTGCACCCTCACAGGTCTTTAGGCACAGCTAGGAATTGACAGCAGTTTTCTCTGAGAGCCAAGAGGACGGGCTGGTCCCACTACAGCTGACAAATTGGGGTTGAGGGAAATTCTGGAAAAGGAAGAGACAAGGCGGGGACAGAAGAGGGTGTCTGCCTTTGTGGGCGAACCCATCCCTTATTTAAAAGCTGCCCGCGGTGGGGGAAGGTGGTGGTGGGCCCCGGGCGCAAGCCATTCTCTTGGCCAGGGAGAACGTAGGAAAGAGAGTTCCTGCCTCGAAGCAGGCCACACGAAGAGAGGCAGG